GGGGGAAAACATCAATATAGATTTATGCCTTCAAATATCATTGATTGCTCCATAAACAGCATGTTTTCTTCTGGAAAACAACTAGGAGTAAGTAAATTTGGTTCACTTGAAATGTCTGTTGAAAAGCTGTTCAATCTTTGATGTCCTGGTCTGTCTGCTGTAGACATGATCCATTATCTACCCTCAGTTAAAAGTGTAACAGATTTTAGAGGTGGCAGATTTTAACTGTAGCCTTTACTCTATTACTCTTAAAGAAATGTACTTGATAAAAAAATAACTTCTGAGATTTTTCTCATTTATTTGGTACTGAACACTCGCCCACTCAAAGAGCTGAAGCGTTGAACATCAGCTTTTGTGTGACTTATAAGATTATCCTCTCTTTGCTGCCCCTCCCTCCTCCAGCCAGACAGTGGCAAAGAGCAGCCTAAGCGAGTGCCCGGTGTCACCACTGCATTCGGCCCTCAGGGTGCAACTCCCCAAACCAGGAGTACTCACCAGGTGACCCACTCGAGAGCTTAACTCTGGATCTTGCATCCGCAAAGAATGTAAGTCTCTGAAGGTTCAAAGGTATAGACGGTCTGCCCCCACTTATCAATAATCATATCTCCTCTTGCGACATTTAGGAAACAAAAGTTTGTTGGTATTTTCAGTAGGTTTAATGCTCAAGGAGAGTCTGTGTTTCTGTTTTCGTCTTTGAGCGCTCATGTTTAGATTTGCTAAAGTAATTTGTCATTTTCTGCGTTATTGTAAAAAACCAGAATCCTTGTGCTTCCCTCCATGGCACACTTTGAAATGTATAGAATATTCTTGCATATTCATTTTTAACTGCTGAAAGTAACTTTGCAAGACCTCTACAAGGGATCTTGTAGAAACTGATGTAATATTTACTGACCACTACCTTAGGGAGGCAAAAAACACGTTGACAGAGTTGATTACAGTTTGATCAATGAAAAGCTGGATTGGCATGGCAATATGAATTCACTATCCCCTCTCTCTGTATCTAGGCTTCAGGATCAGCCAAGTTAATGGACAATCTTGCTGAGTCTTCTGCCTTGGTATGATGACATCAGCCACGGGTCACTTTCTGGATGACCCCAACCCAAAAGAAACTCCTGGGCCAGAAAGCCACACCACACCATCTCCACTCCTGTCAGAGTTACTGAAGAAAGGCAGGATCTTTGGCCTCAAATTCAAGACTGGTAATGTTAGTGGACTTAGTGTCATGCCAACAGGCTGCAAGCTCCTGTAATTAATATGTTAAGTCTGCAGAGGTATCCCATCTTATCTCATCGCTTGAAGAGTTTCTTTATATTAGGACGCATTTAATCATTTTTTCTCACCATTTGTGTTTTGTGGTTCTCTGTGGTTGGTTTTTCCAGCTGTAATGAGATTTTAGTAATTTCAGCACATTTATTTTATTATTTGGAACACAGAAATATTGTTAGATTTTCAACACCCAGCCTGTTTCACCTCAGGACATCTGAGGGTTTGCATAAATTTAGATTCACTCAGTCTTTTTTAAAGTTGGATGGGAGTACACATGTGAGCAGCCATCTTCAATTAATTCCTCTCAATTGTGAGCATCCATCAGGGGTTTTTATATGGCGTGACTTCCATTGCAGGCAAGGAGCTGTCAATCAGTCAGTCCTGACCAACATTGTTCTTGAATAGTTTCTGGACAGTTACCTCCTGGAATGTCTGGCTTGTTTCGTGTTTTGTTTTGTTTTATATTGATGGAATTTTCTGTGCTCTTATGAAATCCAAACATGCCAGAATATGTTTATCCTTTACTAGATCTTTTCCTTCTCACATTTCCCTGGAAATGTTTCTGTTCCGACTTGCCACATTGTCTGTTGGACTTCTTTATAATCATAAACAAAGGGATTCCAGTCAGTTGTAGAATAACACAACATTCAGACATTTAGCTTTAGATTTGCATTATTTTATAAAAATTATGTAGTGACATTATTAAAAATTAATTGTTGACATAATG